AGCGAGCGAGGCGTGTGAGGCGTGACGAGCGGGAGAGGCGGGTCGCGCAGGAACTCAGGGCAAGGCGGGACGGGACGGATGGCGGGATGCGTACCGAGGCTGCGACGGGTGCGGAGCTGGACCGGGCGGCGGAGAGAAAGACGTGATGGGGTGGGGCTAGGCGGAGCGGGGCCGACGCGAGCGGAGTGAGTACGGAGGAGCGGGCGATGCGGAGTGAGGAGGGTGAGGCGGAGAGAGGCGGGAAGTAGTTTGGTGAGGCGCACTGAGACGAGGTGGCGCGGCGCGGGAAGAGGCGGTACGTAGGAGGGTCATGGAGGTAGGCGCAGGGAGGACTGGGACGGAATGAGACTGTGTAGGGAGTGACGGGGAGTGTTGGAGGGGCGAAGGAGCTTGTTGTAGGGGATGGGGTGAGGTGGGTTGGGTCGCGCTGGGGAGGGAGAAGGCGCGAGGGCAAGTTTAGAGCGAGGGCGTGGGCGTGGGCGGAGGCGGGGCGGCCCGGGCCGGTGGTATTCCAAGAAGCCGTCCGCAAAGTAGGAGGAAACGCCGCGAATGGAAGACCATGGAGCGAAAGGAAACGTACTCCGGCCGAACGGCGCCCTTTGTCCTCGAGCCCTTTCATCCGCCCTCTTTGAGAGGAGTGAGGACGGCGCCTGAGGACAATCGAATTTTCTAGGCGCCGCCGCAGAAACCCGACCGTTCGCTAGACCCTGTTACATAAGTAGCTCCGCCATTATTTTATAGGTTGAAAGGGCGCTTGTTTCAATATACCTGGAGAGCGGTAGTGTACCTTGTTATTCAGGGCACGTCTTAGGAGCCAAAAGTGCATTACCTGTTTATAGTGTGTGGTAAGAATTATTATTTTTATTTGAGAAATTTCTCTTTAATGTTTGCATAAAACTGAACACAAAATTTGTCAAATTTTATACGCTACGGATGATCTCAAACAGGGATGTGAATCAATATTAACAATACTGATATATGTAACAAAAAAGCTTTATTAGGCTGTAATCGCTATGGAATCAATTAGGGCCGCAATTTCGACCGGCCTACGTCAGACGATTTTGTCCGACGGATCGGATTCGTTCAAATACGTGTTGGGAAAAGGAAATGGTCATAGTGAATTCAAACGATCTCTTCCGCTTGGCGTCTGAAAATATCAACTGTCGGTCAAAAACATGTTTATTTGCTTCTGTCGCATCCATTCGCCCTTAATCTGAAGCATTATATAATGCAGATATTCCACGACCGTCTTCAATACTTTTATATGCCTTCGAGCATTGTTCTTCTGGTGGTACTTCTCGCAAATATTTCAGAAATTATTTGTGGAAATATAGAAATATTTGGACAATTATGTGTACAACATATGGGTGTTTTTCGGAGGAAATAAACCGTAAATTTCCCGCGACACACTCTTCGTTTAGATTTACAAAACATGCAATTACGTTTTATATTTTGTAGGTAAAATCAAACATTCTCCTGAGGGTATTAATATTGATTTCTTTGCGAGAAAGAGAAAATAAATGTAACACCCACGAAACGACAAATATAGAGTCCGTTGCCCTCATTTCATATCAGTTTTAATACTTGTTTCACGAGAGAGTCTCTGAGCTGTTTAAAATGATTTTGGTACCACCGTGGACAGCGGGGAGACGCTATACGAGGAGACAGTAACTCGATCCCAGCCAACGCGTTGATCTCTGTCGGCGCAGCTTACGCTCCGGGAGGCGGGTGCAGGGGCGGCGGCGGCGGCGGTAGTGGGCGAGTCGCAATCACCGTTTGTTAATTAACCCCCGCCCAAGGCCTAAGACAAAGCGCCAGGTAATTGCGTGGGGATTATACGCTAGTGGTACGCGCACGTTGGTTGGCGGGGGTGCTCCGCGCTTGCCTATTGGCCCCCTCGCGCACGGGCGAAGCACCGATTGGTCGGACGCAGCCTACGCCAGCGCCCCAGGCTGTCGGTAAAAGAACTGCGCCTTCCATTGTTGACCGGCAGTGATGGGTTGATACAGTGCGATAACGGTCTTCGGACAACGAGATACTAGAACGTTTTGAAATGAGAAACAAAGGAAATTGTGAGTGAAAAACGAAGCGTAGAGTGCGTAAAACACCAAGAATGTAAAATAATAGGAATCTATTAAAAGAGTACTAAATGATTAACTACTATGTTCGAAGGCGAAAAATAAAATATTAAGAGGACTGGAAAGAACATGAATTAATTTGCAGTTTGATCTAAAGCTCAAATGTATTATTTACCATATACGCGTAAATACATAAGTTATTACATTTGCATATTTTAAAAAGTTGGAGTGTAAACATACTGTTATATATTCTTCTTTTACTACAAGGAGAAAGTACTCGGATGGTATGTAAAGTATCTCAAATTGGGAACTTACTGCAATGCAGGAGGTCTAATATTAACGAGCTTCTTTTAATGAAGCTACATTGAAACGTAATTATTTTCGAACGAGCAGGCACAACTGCAGTGTTTTTATTGTCTACTAATATTTCATTTTTTCATCATAGTACGAGAAACGGGAAATGGATTTCGACAAAGGATGTGACAAAGAATTATAGATCTTCGATTATATTAGATTGCGGAGTAATTGAAATAAAAATCATTTTCTTCATTAGAGAAATCATTTAGATACCCTCAGACAACGGAGAAAATTAAAAATTAATGAAATTTATTCATTGAATATTTAGAAGTGAGGTAGTTCATTAGCATTGGAATAAAGAACCCCCAATACATATAACAGCAATTTATTACCAAAGAACTGTAATAATTTATGACTAATACACTAAGATTAACAGCTTGTCAGAACATTCACAGTGACTGTGGTATTTAGAGCAGTTTTTATCATGTAATACTGATTTTTCACTTATTTGCATCATTTACGTGTCATTTCTAAAATGCCGTTTAGTTTATTGAATACGTATAGTAAGAAATTTAACTTTATTTAAATAACGTTTATTGTCTTTATATGATTTTATTTTAAAAATTAATCCATTTTTTAAAATTTCTATACGTTATCTTTGGGTTATAATGTATCTCTCAGAAAAAAAAGTGTCAAGAGAATAGGTTGGAGGTACTCCACGCAGATCCCACTCGCTTGCTGCAGATTTGGCGCGCGAAAGCGCACAGCCGGCGGCGACGGGAGGAAGAGAACATGGGCGTGGCCTTGGCAGTGCGAAGGGGGGTGGTGGGACGGGGCGGTTGCCGAAGGCAGGGCCTGGGGCGGAGGCGTAGAACGCGTGTCGCCGTCCTGATTGCCCCCTCGGGAACTGCGTGCAGATAGCGCGGGCCGCCGGCTCGCCCATTGTCTCCGGCGGGAATCAATCACGGCAATATCTGCCTGCGCGCTCCGACCTGCCAGCGCACCTCTACGCAGCGCATGCCTGTTCACGTGTCACGGGCAGCGGGGGACTGCACGAGGAACGCATGTTGCAGTTGTTCGATTTTAGTTTCAGCACTCGCTGCACACCGGTTGACGTAATTGGAACTGAAAGTAATGAGTGAACTTTTCACGGAATTGCCAAGCATTTTGAAATGAAAGTGTAATTAGATGGTAAAATGTTCTGGAACGAAAAGTATGATCTGAATTAAAGTTGCGGTCATAATTGCTCCACATAATTACGTTAATTGTTCAGAATAATTTTTCTTTCTCGACTGATTTAGAAGCATATTCTACAGGCGGACGTCAACAATCTTTAAAACGCTTGAAGAAAATCTGGAATGCAGTAAAACATGAAACCGAGGAATTTTGCATTTGACTGAAGGTGTTTCTAGTATTGTTATTAACTGAAACATTGCTTTATCTACTATTTTCCTGTCAAGTTCAACTTGTAGTCATACATAAAAATTAACTTCTTTCATACATATTATTAGTATCTGCCCTCATTTAAAGTACATTAAACCAGAATAATATTTGTACTGTTCCCCTCTATTTATCGTAGCATTATTGTTTGTAGCTAAAATGATTAAAGTAATTATTCCCATACTATTTTATACGATTATAATTAGGAAGATTATTTTTCTCTTAGACAGTTTTGTTACATAACATTATTAGTCTTTATTACTAGAATTAATTTACTTCAGTTTAGAATTGGAAGACATTTTCACGCTAGCGGTACTTTCTGTGACAATCCAAAATCATTTGTTTACTTTAAGAGCAAAATAATTTCCTCTTCCTCTAACAGCTCCGAAGAGTCAAATATAAAAAATAAACAATTTTTAATTAAGCTATCAAGCCACGCAATATTGACTTCGAAACAATACTATTAACAGCAGGAATGCTACTTTTTTCTTAAAATGTAATTAAACCTATCGACTACATTCTTCCCATCAACTTTCACTTACAATGATGAGAGATAACGAGATCAACTCATTTATCTATTAACACATAGCACTAAATTTTGAAGAAGGTAAAACACTTTCATTTATGCACAACCTTTTCGACATTTTAGAAACAGAGAAACCGCCGAGAAACTGTTGAACAGGAACGAAGAGATTTTTACCAAAATTACATAAGACACATTTTATTCTTATAACTGTATAGGAATTGGTAGTGTGTATTTTAACATGAAATATCATGTTAAATTAATTAACATGTTACATTAATCATCATGTTGTTGACTATTAACGCTCAAGAGATAGCATATAATCAGGGGCACCCAGAGAAAATAAGGGCATGGAAGTTCAGGGGTAGGGGGTTGGCCAAGGGGCAGTAGATACACGGGGGCTCCTCATTTCCCACAAAAGTTCCCCTTATTTATTATTATCATCATTAATTCTTAATATATTTTAAAGTGAAACATATTTCAACTACACTTAATTTTTCAAAACAAAAATATTGAAGAAAATAAAGTTTGTGTACATTTTCGGAGTCTGACTTAAATGGGGACCTGGAGCAAGTTGCCCCAGCTGCCCCACCCTCCGGACGCCCCTGCGTATCATTGTCGCATTAGAGGAGAGGCTTGCTTGCGTGCGCGCGTGCACTCACCACGGCGGCTGCGGCTTGGCGGCGGCCGCCTGCTGCTGGTCGGGCGGGGGCTCCCTGCGGAACGCCGTCACTGTGGCCACGGTGTGCTTGGGGTTGATGTCGGCGCTCACGTTCCACTGCTCCGACGCCGCCTCCGCGCCCAGCAGGCGCAGCCCGCTCTTCACGCGCGCCCTGCAACCACACACAACCCCAGCGCTCAACCACACGCGCCACTGCCTGCCCTGCCCACCCTGATGAGGGTGAGGCAAAAGACGCTTGATAAAAATGGCATTCTCGCAAACATATTAACTTTATTCCTCGACCATGAAATTACTGTTACAGATATTACATACCTATAGCATCTCTGACTTTGTTGGATGATAATGAATGAAATTCAGAAGTCGGTGGCAAGCTACTTATACCTCCTGTATATTATTAATTAATTAATCAATCCACAACAGGATAAATCTTAAATTATAGTACTTATTTCAAGACAAAATCAAGGATGTCAATGAAAAGACAGGTATGAAATGAATTTACATGGTACTTGCTACAATCAAGATCGAGTTTGAAAGGTTTAATTCAACGTTTCATAAGTCCTTGCGTTGATTAGCTTCCCTTTGCCCTGTATTCTCTGGACACGAACTTTCGGACTTCTCCTCGCTTCCCGCCATCTTCAGAGAAAATGTCAGGGAATACAGAAAAGTAGTAAGTTTTAGTCCACAGTCGACGCATGAGCCTTCTGCTTACGCAAGCGAATATATTGGCTGCCGCACGGAAAACTTCAATTTCCAGCCAGATTAGCAGCGTGGCGCTAATTCAATTGTCACATTAAGAAGTGGAGATAGTGATTATAAAGAAGAAAGTTTTTTTCTAATACTCGTAATTTTCAAATTAATATGATTCTTGAGATGCCTAGGTTTAAATCCATTACGATAATATTATGACTGATAATGAGAGTAAACTATTATGTACACCGGTTTATTTGCTCAATGTAATAATGTAGAGAAATTACACATTTTGAACTATTTTCATCCTTACCCTACATTGAGTACATTGAGCACGTGCTGAGCAGAAAAAATATATAAAGATCTTTCTGCAACGGGGTCAGACCCGAAGTATTTCTGGACGCAATTACAGTCGAGACTCGAGGCCATAAATTTCTTAAGGAAAATTATACTTTTTTAGAATGCAAATTTCTTCTTGAAATGCCGGCTCGTGATTAATGGGGATACTTATTTCGAATGTAATGACACCATAACATGACAATTGTCCTCAATAAATTGTAGGGTTATATCTGTGAGAACATGATTGCGGACAGCGGGTGTATATGACCTGATTGTGGCAATGAAGCAAAAAGGAAAACACAGCATTAGGCTCGCTCACCCACCGCCAACAAAGCACTCTGCGCGACGGGGTGCGGCGTTACGCGGGGCTGTGCAGTGAGGTGCAACGTGAAATTCAGTCGGCGCCGCGACCTTACCGCGTTGAACGTTGTTGAAAGAGGCAATGAGGCAGGAATATCCATCTAGGCGTTAAAGGAGAGAAGCGGGTTCAAGCAAGTCGAACAAACAAGCAAACAAGCGAAGCAAGCTCGGCGCATTGCGGCGGACGCCTGGGGAGTTGCAACGAGCATCGCACTAATTGCGACAAGATGGAAGCGGGCTGCTCAGCGCTGCGCGGACCCTGGGGATCGACCAGATTCCAAGGAGAAAGATGTGATTAATCAAGTCTCCTGTCTGGCTCATCAGCAAAGAAGTACGACTCTTTTTTGCCCAAGTGCAAAGATTTGATTGTTTTTGACTGCATGAATTGGTAGTTAGTAAGACAAAATAATAGGCAACAAGACTAAAAAATCCGGTTATTGTCATCAAAATACTATTACCATAAAATACGCATTTAAAAATGTTAATGAGATTGTTATCTCTGAAAAGGATGACTTTTTTTCAAAGAAAAAGTACACAGTCCTTGTCCGCATTCATCATTTTGGATAGAAAGGTCAAACAGGAGAAAATGACGAATGGATCAGTGAGAAAGACAACGGCAGTGAGGATGGGGAAAGTCCAATAGGTTAAAGAAAAATTCACGATGTAATATAAAATAACGCGTCAAAAAGGTAGTAAAACATTCTTCAAAAATTAACTTGTTAGGCGCTCTCCCTTAACCTGCATATAACCTGCATATAAAATCTCACACTCTGAATCCACCCTTCGGGTTGAGGCTTTCGAAAGCGAGGATGAAGCAGTGGGGCAATGAAGCGGTGACAAAGCTAGGGCGGCGCTTCCGTCAAAAGTAACCAGTGCGGTGCGGAAGCAGACAGGAGCAACGCCCCCCGATGGAGAGGGATCTCTGGAGACCCTTGGCCGCAAAGAAAATCCCGCCCGTGTCACATCGCATCAGCACTTTCGTCCCGGCGGTCGCCACGTGGAGCGCTGCCGGCGAAACACTTTCCAGGGGCGGCGAAGACAGGGGCTTCGTCTCTGGGGTGCACACGCGTGCTGCTTTCCGTCTTCCCCTCCTCCAGAGAGTTCGCGGCGGGAAAGCCACGAGGGATACGCGGAACGGGGCAGGGGAGAGCCGTCCAAGGATGGACGAAGAGAGGTGGGGCTGGATGGAGGAGATAAGGTAGGCGCGAAGCGGTTCGAAACTGAAAAGGGCGTGGAAGGGCGAGGTGCTGCGCTGGAATGGTCAGCGTCAGGCTTGGTGGAGAGGGCGGGGTGGAGCGAAGAGCCACGAGACATATCATAGCAGAACGATTTGTGAAGGGACATGTCGTGTGTGTGTGTTGGGGGGGAGGTTCGTGGAGGGACGGGTCGTGGAGGGACGGGTCGTGGAGGGACGGCTCGTGGAGGGACGGGTCGTGGAGGGACGGGTCGTGGAGGGACGGGTCGTGGAGGGACGGGTCGTGGAGGGACGAAAAGGGTTGGGACGTATGATGGAGGGACGGGACGTCATGGCACAGTGGGACGTATGGCGCCTTAGGTAAAGTTGCGGCGTCAAACCGCGATTAGGTATGGCCGCAAGTGTCAAACCAAAGAACTGTCAAAAGAGGGTCAAAGCTCCCTCCCCACGGCTCCGTTCCCCGAGGCGCGGTTGGGGACTTCATACGAATATTCCGTTAGCCACCAGCCCGTATGAGAAAAACCACTTCCCAGAAAAATGCAGGAATTCGATTTACCGATGAAATTTCCTGGTAATCATAAAATGGGGTGCACTTTGAGCTGATAATCTATGAAACATTTTTTTCGCTTATGGCCGTTCGAAACAGTAAGTAAGAATGAACTATTTCCTTCATGTTGGAGTCACAAATATGGTAAAACTGTATAAATAAGCTAGATAAGAGAAATTAATGAACGGTGACAATCATGTCATAGGTCATACCAGCCCGTTGAAAATCATTCAATAAAATACTTTTGGGTCGAATGTTGCTCAAAGCCTTTCATTTCGGTTCTGTTATAGACAAAGAATAAAATATACTAGTTTGCTATGTATTTATCATGCCTGTTGATACGTAATTTTACACTTATTTCGTTAACAGTCAAAGTACAATTTACGGAAGGAACGTCTATTCTCTTATTACAAGAACGGATTTGATTATGTATTATATAGCTTATCATTATCGGTATTTGTTGCATTCACCAAATCTATACTCAACAACTTCACGTAACACATAGAAGCAGTCATGTGAATACCAGAAAGGATTTTATGAAACATTTTCATCAAAAGCCTGTACGTGGAAATATTCATAGGAATATTGAACTCAGAGGACAACAGCAAAGTCATATTCGTTTAAAAGTGTATCAAGAGCTCCAATTCAGAATTCAGTGCACGCAATAAACCCTATATCTTGATCGGTGTACTGCAGCGATACAATCATGTGAGAGCTGGTTTCCTATTTCCAACAAAAGAGGTATCTCCCGTGCATTGCACTGTTGCGGGCAGCGCTGTCAACGCCCTCTGCTCCATGTGAAGCATACAGCGGGTGACAATTGCCTCTTCACGACCATTAATGCGCAGGGGAGAGAACGCAGGCACACTACATGGGAGGCGCAGGCGGTTCGAGTGGAAATGCGGCGTTGGTACGGCAATGAGGATGGGGATGAGGATGGAGAGAGGGGTGATAGAGATGAGAACAGCCAAGCAACGAGGCGACAAAACCTACAATGACGATTGGGTGACGGGGCCCGCGGGGCTGACAGGGCGACGGGGGTGATGGGAGAACAGGTGCGACAGGAGGACAAGGGCAACGGGGACGACGGGGACGACGGGGGCGACGGGGGCGACGGGGGCGACGAGGACGACAGGGGTAACGGAGGCAACGGGACCGTTGGGGCGACTAGGATGATGGGAGTCAATGAGACCGACGGGGCCAACAGGCTCGACGGGGCTGACGGGGTCGACGAGGCCGACGGAGTCGACGGGCCCGACGGGGCCCATGGGGTAGACGGGGCTCGCGGAGTCAATGGACACCGACACCGACGGGGCCGACAGGCTCTGTAGAGCTGACGGGATCGACGAGGCCTACGGGGGCGACGGAACCGACAGAACCGACCGGGTGGGTAGGCCTGAAGGGGGCGATGCGGCCCCACAGCGACGACATTGTTGATGGGGACAATAAAAACGACGGAGACGGCGGGAAAGACGAAGAGAAATGCAAATAATAACGTGCACGAAGGGGACGACAGGAACGAAGGGGCAACAGGGACGAAAGGGCGTGTCGGGGGCGACGGGGACGATCCTATTGAAGGGGAAAAGTAGGACGAACGGGACGTCGGCGCTGAGTCGGGGATTGTCAGGAGGGCGAAAGAGGCGGCGGATGCCATGGTGTGAAGTTGACGAGGGCGGAACATTTGGAGACGAAAATGGTTTAGGTGGCGACTACAGCAAATGTAACGACAAAGACGGTGGTGCGGTCTCGAATATGGTAATGATGAGGGTTGCGATGACTGCGGGGATTGTGAGGACGGCCACGAAGTGAAGGCGAGGTGATGTGCAACACGTGCGTATGATGTGGTTAATGTAGGTCGCCTTTAAAAGTATACGAGAAGGAGTGGCGGGGCATAACAGTGACGCGGGCGACGTTTCAGAGTCAGCAACAAAACATGCTTTTTGTTCAATCAGCGCGTGCATAAAACAGGGTCTAGAACCGAATATGTTACCCTTCAGTTCTTTGCATGTC